GATGGAAGAATTATGCTGCACACCAGATTGACACAACATTGTAAACTGACTATATTTCAATAAAAATATTTTAAAAAGTGATGGTACATCTAAACCATGGAATCCATGCAGCTGTGAAAGAAGCAGCTCTCCAAATTCTGTTAAAGAATGGTGCTCAAGGCATGTTACAGCAAGTCAAGTGCAGAACACCACAAACCACGGGACGATTTGGTAAAGAAATAAGGGGAGGAGAGAATGTACATGCATATGCTCATAAATGCATAAATCTCTTCTGAGTGGAAACACAGGAAAGAAACTGAAAACAGTTGCTGCTTCCTGGAAGGGGAACTGAATGGCTGGGGGACAGGTGAACACTTCTTCAAGTATACACTATTGTACTGTCTGTGTTTGTCCAGCATATGTCTCATATGTCAATTTGCCTATTCGGAATAGAATAAAAAAGGGGAAGAGAAAGAGGAGAAGGGGAAGAAAGAGGAGGAGGAAGAAGTAGACAGGGAGGAGAGGACGAGAAGGGAGGAGAGAAAGGGGAAAGGAGAAGAAGGAAGAGAAATGGTAGGAAGGAAGGGAGGGAGGTAAGGAAGGGAATGGTTAATAAAAATTCTTAAAATTTTTTTTCAAATAAAAATCAACACTTTCCTTTGTATCTGCTACCTGGTATTCCTCTGGCAAATATTTTTTTAAAATATTCTCATTAGTATGGACCACAAGATACAGTTTTATTTTATCTGGATGGGTCAGTTTCACTATCACTGTTGCACGCCAGGACTATATTGTTTTTCTAACCCTCTGTCATAATCTAGTTCAAATGGGTCTTGATCTTCTTCACTGCACATGAATAGAAACCACAGGGTATTTGCGGTATCATGCTGACTGGATATGGCTGAGTAAGAATTAGTAACTATCCTAGATACTGTGATAAGATATATGCATGTCAGAGTGTGGAAATAAATTCCACAAAATTCAAGAGTCTGTTGCCTCAGTAAAATTCTAAGCATGCAGTGGTCTTGAGCATGTCCAGACTCTCCAAGATGAAAGACTAGTTACTCATTCGATTCCTCCAACCACTAAAAAGAGGCACAATGGATATCGGAGGCAACACATACCTCATTTGGGTGTGTTATTCTGATTCACTGAGTAACCTGAAAGAGTTCCAGTTTTGAGTGTTGTCTGGAAGAATAGAAGGCTCAACAGCAGGTCCAGGTTACTAAGACAGTTGTTCTGCCCCTTGGGCCATATGGCCTGGAACATCCATGCTATTCAAAGTGTCTAGCAGATAGAGGTGCTGTATGGAGACTTTAACAGGCAAATATAAGTTAATTAGAGTCTAGAGGATTCCAAACAAATCTATGTCATCATCTGCCAATAATTATTCTCCTTTTGGAAACACCACCTGGCTTGCCATTAAACTAGTAAAGACTTAACATGTGACCATGACCACCAAGTTATCTTTGAGTTGAGCTGCTCATCATGAACTGGATGTTGTCTGATTCACTAAGACATAAAGTTAGAAATACAGATCTGCACTATATAAAAAATGGCATTAAGAAATATAAAATTGGGCAAATTGTGAAGGCACAAAGAAATTATACAAGGAAACAGTTAATATACTCTTCTCTCTCAGCACATACCTATGACATCAAGTGGAGTTACTCATCACCAAATGACTGAGGAAGAAAATACTTCAACATGGTTCACAGAGAGTTCTGCATGACACACCAGCATCAGCTGAAAAGTCACAGCTGGAGTTCCACAGCCCTGCTCATCTACAGTTCTGAAGGGTAGTAGTGAAAGAAAGTCTCAGTAGGCATAACTTTGAGCAGTGACTTATTTGAATAATCTGGAAGAATAAATGTTCAGATGTACAGATTTTCACTGATTCATTGGCAGTGGCTAATGGTTTGGCTGGATGGTTGGGGATTTGTAAGAAGTACAATTGGAAAACTGGTGACAAGGTGTTTAAGGAAGATGTATGTAGGTATATTTCTCTGACTGGGCACAGAGTATGAAGATAAATTTGAGTCCCTTACAAATGCTCCCCAAAAGGCAATGTCAGAAGAAGATATTAATAATCAAGTGACAAGATGATCTATTGCATGGATGTCAGTCAACCTCTTTCAATAGCTACCCCTGTCATTGCTCAATGGACTCATGAATAACATGGCCATGTTAGAAGAGATGAAAGCTACTCATGGATTTAGCAACAAGAACTTCCACTTACTAAGGCTGATACAACTATAGCCACTTCTGAGAGCCCAACTGGCCAAGAGCAGAGACCAATAGTAGTTTCCATTACCTTGGGGGGAAGGAGGGTATAAATCAGCCACCAGGTTGATTACATTGGACCACTTCTACCATGAGAAAGATATCACCTGTTCTTATTGGAATATACATTCACTCTGGATATTGATTTGCCTTTCCAGACCTCAATGTTTCTCCCATTACCACTATCCATGGTCTTAGGGTACCCTATTCTGAAGGATTGCTTCTGATCAGAAAATAATTTTACTTAATATCAAATAAGGTGTGTCAGTAGGCTCATGCTCATGAAATTAACTTTTCTTACCATTTTCCCCATTACCCAAAGCAAGAAACTGACAGAATGGTGGTTGGGGGAGGCAGTCTGAAGACCCAGTTTTAGTGCCAACTGGCTGACAATTTTTATAGCCCAGACAGATAATATCCCCTAGCATGTATGTTCAGCTACAAAGCTATGGGGCTGGTTGTCACTTGGCCAGGATTCCCTGGTCCAGGAAAGGAGTGAAAATGAAAGTTACTCTTCTATTACTCCTGGTAATCAAGTATTGAATATTTTACTTTGTCTCAGCTATGATCATGTGACAAGTTACAAAAATGATGGTAGTAATTACGGGCATTCACTCCTAATCTTAAATGAATATATATATCAATTCTTCTTCTTTTCATATCCTATCTCATTCCCCTACTATCTAGCACATGTTAATATTGGCTAACCTTTATTTACAGCAACATGGATGGACTTAAAGATTATAATATTAAGTAAAGTAAGTAGGACAAAGACAAATATATGAAATCACTTATATGTGGAATCTAAAAAAATTATACAAATGAACTTATTTACAAACTGGATATAGATTCACAGACACAGAAAACAAACTATGGTTACCAAAGGGAAAAAGGACAGTGGGGAGGGATAAATTAGGAGTTTGGGATTAACATATTCACAATACTACATATAAAATAGATAAACAATAAGAACCTACTGTATAGCACAGGGAACTACATTCAGTATCTTGTAATAACCTATAATGAAAAAGAATCTGAAAAAGAAATATATATATATGTGCATATGTATAACTAAATCACTTTGCTGTACACCTGAAATTAACACAACATTGTAAATCAACCATACTTGAATAAAAATAAATTTTAAAAAACAGTGGCTAACCTTCTATTTCATTATTTAGGTTACAGAGTATCAGTGGAGATAACAGCCATTATCCCGTGAGGGTCATCACACTTAGATGTGGTAACAGTAGAGAGGGCAGTGGGTTCCAAGTTGTCTTCACTTCTCTCTGCTATGTGTCCAGTTCTACCCAATGTCCAGCTCTTCTTCCTACTGCTAACCTTGTTGACAAATAATGGCCCTAGAGTCACCACTAGATGCTTGACAGAATGCTGTAAAGGCAATTGCTACTCAGACGCAGAGCTTTCTGTAAACATTCCCACAAATCTTTCCTACCCAGTCTCATTGTGGCAGTTGGCCAAGGTGACTTCTCTAATTTCCCAACTTCTCTTCTACACCTGAAGGTGAACTTCCCCAGCTTCTCCTACAACTATGTAAGATATAATTCTTATGATAACCCCCTTTTCACATGCCTGGTAGTGGTTCATTTTCCCTCACTGAAACTTGACTGGTTTGAATAGAGAAAGTCTTGATGAAGTATGAGCCTGTGCTATCTGTTCCTGAGGTCCAGTTATGACCTTGTGCTTCCTATATTTAGTTGCTCAACCATTATTTGAATTCTATTTACAAAATTGAATAATTTCTCCTAAGCTAATTTGAATTGGTTCCCAGGTATTTGTGATTAAAAAAACAGTAACCAATACCTTATGGCAATGTTAATTATGGATCTCTTATATTTCTTCATGATTGTGAGCAGAGACATAGACCGCCCAACTCTTTTCAACGATGTTTATGTAGCAAACAGCCTTGAAATATACTGTGGCTTCCTATCATGCAAAGAGCAGGCATACTTACTACCCATTATAAATTATTTTGTTCCCTAAACTCAGCACTCCTGTTGTGCAACCCACGGTGCAGGCATTACTCGGGCCTATCCTCACTGCCATGTGGGAACTGGGGCTCAGGAAATGATGTAGAAATGATAATACTTTGGCTACTGCTATTGCTATGAATAACAAATTGTCCTTTTTCACTGACCCAAGAGACATGAAACTATTGCAAGTTAACTTGCCAGCTGGTGTGGATGGTGAAATCTCAGATCCTTCACAGATCTTGAAGATTATTTTAGACTGGTATAATTTCATATGTACATATGCTCATTAGGCTTTTCAAAGAGAACAATGTATGTAACTATAATACAAAGGAACATTTTAATAAGGAAATGTATGAGGTTTGAAGAAATACATTCAATTAATCATATCATTATAGTGTAATAATTACTTTAAATGCAAAGATATGTTTATTTTGTCATTTGTAATGACAAGAATTTGGTTAGGGTGCTTTGGTTGTAGTAACAGAAATGAAACTTGAGTTTATGAAAAAAGGCTAATTTATTTAAAGATTACAAGGGCACTTTACCAAAGCTAAGAACTACAGTTAAAAACAGGCCTCAAGGATGATGGTCAACAACAGAGATCAAATCTTGTTAGATTAAGCAAAAAGGGAAATTTATAATTAGGATACAAGAGTGCCTTACCAAACCAAAGGCGGGATTCATGAAGGGCTGGAATGGGAATAAAGCACTGTTAGAAAACCAGGAATCACATTCTCCTGATCTCTCATCTCTGCTCTTCACTTTGTAAATATTTCGCTACTCTCTCACTACACATTTGCTGTTTTTTCCCTTTGTAAACCACAAGGTGGGACATGGCAGCCCATGACTCCCCAGTTTATGTTTCCTCTATTTCAGAGACTAGTCAGACTGAGGCTAGAATCTCTTATCTGCAACCTCAAATTCCTAGGGAGGTTTTAGGATCTTACAAAATTAGAGAGGACTTTCTTCTCTGGGACAGGCAGTAAGATCAAAGTTGGTAGAACACCAAGAGACAGAAACCAATTCAAAACACTTTTATAGCTCCTTAACAGATCTTGAGCTGAAACAACTTATTTAGATTTAGGAGTGGATATAAAGAGATATTCTCACAATCCATGAGATGTTCTCACAGCGTATAATAGGTAGAAATGACCAGGCTTCAAAAGCAAGCTGTTCTAATCCTTTTTAATAGTCCCCCAGGACAGAAATGTTAGGCCTGAATAATGTTACTACCTTACCTGAGACAAGTTACATTTCATGTATTATAATAGGTATGACTTATCTCTTGGGAAGATATGCACAGGTCTTGGTATGAGTAATTTAACCACAAACAGTAATATTATACTTAGTTAATTGTTTTTCTCAAAAGAAAGAAAGAAAAAGAGACTAATTACATAGAGAGTATTTATGAGAAATAAAAAAAAAAAGATAAATTACAGAGTGGGTGTCAGAAATCCCTCAGTCATAAATAGAAATCTGACCAAGGGTCTCTCAGATTACAGAGGAATTCTGATTCATCTAGCTTGAGTCAGGGGCCTATAAACATATCTGCTCACATTTTCATCATAGTGGGTTAAGGGCTGGGGAGCCATTCTGAGAAACAGACAGAAGAGGACAAAGAAAACCATTTTCTGTTTTCTGGATTCTTCACAGTGTTCCAGGTTCCCTGCTAGAGCAGTAAAATATTGCTTACAAAAATCATGACAGAAAAATATTTGAATGGTAGATGATTTACGTATTGAAAATTCAGAAAATGTGATGGAAGTATTCTGCCCAACTCTACCCACATTGAAATAAAATCGAAAATGTCAAAAGTATAAAGAAATGCTGTGAGTACTTTATTAAAAGTATATTTGTGCTGAATATTTCTTAAAAGTATTTCTCTTGTGTGTTGAAATACATTTGTATTATTTATTATGTCCTTTGAGAGATACAAGGAGTTAAACTTAATGCTTATGATATTGCTCTAGTTCTTCCTGTGATTTTGTTTCTAGAAATAATTGGCAAGGGAAGTAGGACCACTCTATCGTAAAGAACAAGAAAAGCAATATTGGCATGGACATGTTAAGAGACTCAGAAGCTGGTATTTCAGTTTTAACTGTACATGATTTCAGTGTATACAAAGTTTCAAAAGAAAAAAGTCATTCAATATTATGTTGAAGGTTTTGTATTTCAACCTCTGTATTTCTTGGTGTAAATATTTCCTTAATGTTGTCATCTTTCTGATCATCATACAGGGTCATATTTAGTACATTTTCAGTACATTCTTCTAATGGAATGGTTGACAGGTACAAAAATACTTTTTCCATTAGAGGCTCCCCGAGAAAAGGCATTGGAGAGTTCTTTTTCGCTAGAGAATCATCAGAAAACCAGTCATCAGCTACTTCTACACTTTGGCTGTAATAAGAATCAGATGGTAACGTTGATAAGCTTAAGGTAACACTGCTGGGATTTGTTGCCAAGCTAGTCTCTGAGGGGTCACAAATGACCTTTTTTGTTGCAAGGCAGAATTCATCTTTAGAGTGATCTTTAATTGCTGTAAAAAAAAATTCAATTTACTATGAGTATTATATATTCATGAGCCAAATCTTAATTATAAGGACAGTGTTTCTTCTTAAAATTCAAACTCTTTTTAAGGTTTTAATGAACAGGATGATGCTACAGTGAAAATTCTGAGTTGCTATCATTATCCTTACAATATTAAATATGCAATTGGGAGTCAGCAATATTTTCACGATAATGAAGAGTAGTAAAGTCTATCCTAAATAAAAGCAATCTGTTTTCACCGAAGACACTAAACAGGCTAAAACATCTCAATTCTGGAATATCCCTTAAAATCAGAAATGGCATATAATTTCTTAACTACTTATAGCTAAATAGGATCTTATTAAAAGTAAAATTTTAAAAACGCCTCCTTCAGCAGGTAGATTACCAAACGTTTGATCTACAGTGGGAAGGGTCTATGAGTCAGCTTTACAGCAATTAAAGTAACAACTAACATTCTTATAGTGCTCTACAATTTACAAAGCAGTTCATATACTTCCACATTTCTTTTACACTCAGTTATTCTTCAAGGTAGTTATTAGTTCCACTTCACAAAAGATAAGATTGAGATTTAGAGAAATGACTCAACAAAATCAGATACAAGATGGACTTCAATCTAGATTTGTGTTACCCTAAGTCTCATGTTTTCTCCCATTATATTATTTATGCTGCACAGTTGGTAAATTTAAAGTGTTGAGTTTTAGAAAATATCACATTTATACAATATACTAAAATATCTTTTATAACATTTTACATATTAATTTTTGATATTAACATACAATATTAATTGTAAAAGCTGTTTTAAATATTTCATTACATGTTACATCCAGCATTTCTAAAATTATGTAAGAGGGTCACGTTTTGAGGTACTAAGTCAATATCTAAAGGATAACAAAACATTCATGTCTTTTGACTCTCTGTCATTATTGTGTGATACGATGATAACTTTGGGCATAAATAAGGGACAAAAATTAAAATTTCACGTTTTGATTTAAGATATGACATTGCAAGTTTTGTTTTCTAAAAATATACACCCATTCACATACTAATTAATAAATGTTCCCCTTAAATTTTCATGGTTTTTAAAAATATTTAGGTAATATTTAGGATAACCTCTTGACTCTTTCAGATTGGAATTGCTAGAAGTTGATCACAATTTTCTCTAAAAAATAGTTGAGAAAAAGTACCTTTCACATGTGCTGTTTCCTTTTTCCTTTGCTCCTCCTACATAAAAAATGTAACTTAATTTTAAATGAATATTTTAAAATAATTTCTTTAATATATTTGACATATATTTATATAAGAATAATACATGTTAACATCATAATCAATTTGTGATAGCATTATGTTCTTTTCCATGATATGAATTTATTTTACCAGGATATATTGACAGGAAAGCAAAGCATTGAGGTATCAATGTGAATTGGTTCAAGAAGGCAGTCTCCAGGATAGGGAATGAAAAGGTGAAATAGAGTTCAACAGGAGTACTTCTCTCCATCCTCACTAACTTAGAGTCACTTATTATAACTAGAGATGGCTAAAAAAGTAAGTAGAATTCATAGACTTATTCATTCTATTAACTAACAACAACAAAAAAGTGAATTCTAATTAAAGGCTTTAATAAAAATGTGACTATTCTTTTGAAGCAAACAAAACATTTGATCAAACAAATATTCCAGATGTGTTCTGGGAAGTGTGGCGGAGTAGGAGTTCTCAAACATAGGGTAGCAAAATCACCTGTTGTGCTTATTAAAACGCTGATCTCGGACCCTACTAAAATAGATTTTCTGGCAGTGGGGTTTGGGAATATGCATAGTAACACACTCCACAAGTGGTTCTGATTCAGTTTCTCCTTAGACCACTAGGTAAACAATGGGCTAGTGCATAGGGTATTTGGTATGCAGTGGGTGAAGATGAGGCTGGAGAGATAATAACACTGTCTCCTGTGTTCTGGGGGAATAACCTTAATACTCTATGTTGATCTGCATTGTCCTGTTCCCCAAAAACGCTTGCTTGGGATATACATGTATATGGGTGTGTGTGTGTGTGTGTGTACATAGGATAACACATAAACACTTTTTTCATAACCTACTTTGCTTTTTTTGTTATTTTCACCTTTTATTAATATAAATGCCATTATAGGCTCCTGAATTACCTTGCATGGATTTAGGACCAATTCAGTCTGTATAAATTATATTAGAACATTGCTTCTCAGACTTTCATGTGACTATGTACTACCTGGGGGAACTTGTTAAAATGCAGATTCTCACTCAGTAGGTCCAGGGTGACAGTCTGAGACTGCATTTCTAATAGGCTTCCAGGCAATGTTGATATTGTTGGTCTGGGAACCACAGAATAATGCACTAGACTGATTAAAATTCTACTCAAACAAAGGCGATGACAAAAATGGGCATTCTTATATATTGCTACATATAAACAGGTAGAATTTTTTCTGAAATCTATTATGCCAAATAAGTAATTTTGGATTTGTATAAATACTCAGTTACCAGACATCACAACATTGTTTGGCATTTTTAAAACCTACAATTTAAAATTATAAGAGAAAGGAAATAGTTAAATATGTTATGATACATAGATATTAATTCAATGAATATTCTTTCAAAAATGTTGCTTTAGTATCAGAAGTAAGTAAGGACTCAAAAAATGATGGAAACATGCTTAAAAAGACAGAGAGACAATCTTGAAGGGGTAGCTTACTGGTTAAATTAAGGAAAATTTGAGCTTCAAAATAACAATAGTAACTGATTATAATCTTCTGAATAAAATAGAAGTCCATGAGTCTATACTGATACTAAATTAATTAAACAAGGAAGAAGGAGAGCTTTCTCACAGTAGAAAGCCAAATGACAAATATGGATGGGAGTGGCAGAACTGGAAAATCATCATATTGTTACAGTTTTGTAAAGATTAGCTAAAGCAATAATAATTTATATAGCTAGGATGTAGAGTTTGATGAAGAGAAGGATATTTACATGTTTTCAAAGTGTCACCACACAGATTGTTGATTAATTGCAAGTGTAAAAACAGGTATGATACGGTGGGTGAAGAACGGACATCATCTTGACTGTGTGATCAAGTAAAACCACTAGCAAGAGCAGATGTGCCCTGTATGCCTTCAGATGCGATAAACTGAACCCGATCACAAGGAAAAGTCAAACTGTGGAACAGTCTATGATTTATAAAATAACTTGCTTATATTCTTCAAAAATGTCAGTATCATTGAAAGACAAAGAAAGGAAATATTAAAAATTTTTGAACTAAGTAATTATGAAAACAAACTATATTAAAAACTGTAGGACGCTGCAAAAGAAGTGCTTAGAGGGAAATTTCAATATTAAGCGCTTATATTATAAAAGAATAAACATTTTAGAATAATAAAATGGAAAACTTCAGGTAAGACTGATTCAAGAAAGAGAAATAGATTCAGGAATAAAAAGAATGCCATCACTAAAGATTCTATAGATTTCAGAAGGATAAGAAGAAGAAATCTTTAAAAACCTTATGCTAGTGGGGAGGGTATAATAGCTTCACAGTAAAGTGCATGCCTAGCATGCATGAGGTCCTAGGTTCAATCCTCAGCACCTTCATTAGAAACCAACCAACCAATCAACCAATTACCTCCCCCTCAAAAAAACGTTATGCCAATAAACTTAACAACTTAGATAAAATGGAGAAATACACTGATAAAATTCTAAAACATACAAAATAGAATATTTAAATAGTCCTGTATCTATTAAAGGGGTTAAACTCATAGTAAAACGTTTTCTCTTGAAGATAACTCCAGATCCAGATGACTTCATTGGTGAATTCTAGAAAAAAAGTTTGAGGGAAGCAATATTGCCAATTCTACATTAAAAACTTTCAGAAAGTAGAGGAGCAGGAAACACTTCCCAACTGCTTTGTGACCAGAATAACTGTGATATTAAAATCTAACAAAATATTACAAGGTAAGAAAATTACAAAATAATACCCCTCATGAACACAGCTGCAATTATTTAAAATGTGTTAGTAAATCAAATCTAGTGAGATTTATTCCAGGAATATAAGGTTGGCTTAACAATTAAAATTAAATGTAATTCACATCAACAAAATAAAACAGAAAACCCATGTGACCAACTTCAAAAGATGCATAAAAAGCCTTTGGCAAAATTCAGCAACCCTTCATGACAAAACAAACTTCTCAGGAAATCAGGAATAGAAGGTAATTTCCTTGACCTGACAATATGTTTCTACAAAACTCCTATCGCTAGTCTACTTGATGGTGAAGAGCTGAATGTATGATCTCTAAGATCAGAATATATAGAAGATATCTGCTCTCAACACTTCTATTCATCATTATAGTGGAGATCCTACCCAGTGCAAAAGATGAGAAAATAAAATAAAAGCGTAAAGATTTGGAAAAGAAGTAAAACTGATTTTTTTAAATTTTGTTTTTTGTTGAAGTACGGTTGATTTACAATGTTAGTTTCAGGTGTACAGCAAAGCAATTCAGTTATACATACACATACATATACATACATACATACTTTTTTTTCAGTTTCTTTTCCACTATATATTACAAGAAATTGAATGTAGTTCCCTGTGCTACACAGTAGGTCTTTGTTGTTTATCTATTTTATATAAAGTAATGTGTATCTGTTAATTCCAGACTCCTAATTTATTCCTCACTCACCCTTTCCTCTTTGGTAACCATAGTTTGTTCTCTATGTCTGTGAGTCTATTTTTGGTTTATAAATAAAATTTGTATCTTTTTTTAGATTCCACATATAAGTGATATTATATGTTATTTGTTGTTCTCTGTCTGACTTACTTCACTGAATATGATAATCTCTAGGTCCATCTATGTTGCTGCAAATGGCACTATTTCATTTTTTTCCTACAATATATATATATGTACCACATCTTCTTTATCCAGTCATCTAAAACTGATGTATGTTTACAGATGGCATGATTGCATATGAAGAAAACACTTTGGGGTCTCAAAAAAAACCCTACTAGAAGTAATAAACAAATTTATTTATACAGGTCACAGAATACAGGTCAATTGTAGAAAAAATGTTAATTCACTCCAAATTAATCTATAAACTAAGTGTAATTCCCATCATTATCTCAACAAGATTTTCTCTAGTTAGAGATAAGTTTACCTTAAAATTTATATGAATGGGCAAAAAAAAAAAAAACCAAGAACACCTAAAACAATGTTGACAAGGAAGAATGAAATGAGAGAAATCATACTGCTCAACTTTATAATTTACTATACAGCTAGAGTGTGGTATTGATAGAGATGGACACATAGGTCAATGATAGAGATAGAGAATCCAGAAACAGACTCATACATATATGCCCAACAGATTTTTGACAAAAGTTGCAAAAGTAACTCAATGGAAGAGGATAGTCTTTTCAATAAATAGTGCTAGAACAATTAAATATCAAAAACCTCCCAAAATAAACTTTGATTTAAACCTTACACCTTATATAAAAATTAACTAAAATGGATCAAAGATAGAAATATAAAATTTAAAACTATAATAATCAAAACAATCTTGAAAAAGAAGAACAAATTTGGAGAACTTACTGCTATCAAAACTTACTACAGAGCTACAGTAATTAAGACAGTGTGGTACTGGTATAAGGATAGATACACAGATTATTGGAACAGAACTAAGATTTCAGAAATAAATGCTCATATTCATAGTCAGTCAATTTTTGACAAGACTGCTAAGACAATTTGATGGGAAAAGAATAGTCTTTTCAACAAATGGAACTGGTACAATTAGACATATACATGCAAATAAGTGAGGCTGGACCCATACCTCACACTATATATATAAAAAACTCAAAATGGATAAACACTTGGATATAAGAGTTAAACTATTAAACTCTTTGAAGAAAACATAGGTATAAATCTTTACAATCTTAGATTAGGGAATGATTTTAGATATGACAACACTGGTACAAGAAACAAAAGAAAAAAATGGATAAACTGGACTTATGAAAATAAAAAATTTTTGTCCTTCAAACAACACCATAAGAAAGTGAAAATACAACCTATATAATGAGAGAAACTTTTTACAGATCATATATCTGATATAGGACTTGGATCTACAATATATGAAGAACACTTACAACTCAACAATTAAAAGACAAATAACCCAAATAAAAAAAAAGTACAGTCTCTGAATAGATATTTCTCTAAAGAAGAC